ATCAAATCTAACAGAAAATTAATTTTCAAGATGTTTTATGAAGCTTAAAAACACAGTTTATTGTAAGAACAAGGATGCTGAATGTAGAAGACACTTCATTCATTCCAGGCACGTAATTGGTTATTAGATGAGTTCGGTTGCCTCTCCAGTTATTATGTAAGTTCCCTTCAAAATTCGTCCTATACTAAGTTGTCGCCTACAAGTGAAGTAAAAAGAGGCAGCAAGACGTATCCGTGTTTTATTTTCCGTACATTTTATTTGAACGAAAGTTAAATTTGCTTTACTTTTTCTCTTACCATGTGAAATTTTTTTTAATGGAGGCCGAAAGTCTATTGAAATGTCGTTTCCAAGCTTGGCCTGCCAAGAAGAGGGATTATGTATTCCTAAAGAGTTTGGTCTACCATTAGGGAATCGGCTTGGTCAGGATTTTGTGAATTTAGTATGCTTAGTATATAAAGACTAGAAGGAAAGTTTTAACCTAATTGAAGGATTTGAGACGTTTTAATAGTTTGGTAGATTTAAATAGATTATTTAGATATAAGTTCATCTCTTCTATGCTATTACTTTGATCTTTGGTCCAGCATAGTATCATAGATTCAATTTTAATAATAACATGCAAATCTTTTAGAGCCGCGGGATACAGGAATTTAGGAAAAGGATAATTATCGCTATTTTATGGAAGTTCCATATGTTTCTGATGGCAATCTAGCCTTCACCCCTGTTAAAAGATCACAACAACTCCCATATTAAAATAAATGTAAGAATTGGCCTGATTTTATGTATAAAATAGCCATTCGTGTCCAGTTGATCGACTGTAAGTCTCCTAATTGAAGGAAAAAATTCTCGGTTGGATTAAGGCCTCATTACACTCTTTTTATACCTTATCGGGCAGAATGTTGGTCTAACTCAATAAAATTTAGGCAATTTTAATTTACTTTTGTTTGGTTAGTAAATAAGGTTAGAATTAGTTCAACCAAGAATCAGAACTAAATCTAAGTGTTCTTCGAGACTGCAGACAAATCATAATCACAAGCCATTCATCTCTAAAAAACATTTCACATCATACTATTCTAGCAAAAATGTAAACTAATATGTCCCTAAATTATTTATCTGATGTGTCCTCAAGAGCCTAGCTAAGACAGACACAAATAAATTACTCCCTTTTTAGGATGAGAATTTCCTCAAACAGTTATGCTTCGCTGGCTTTGAGTCAACTATTCGGGCCAAAAATGTTGACTTCTCAGAGGAAGTGTATAATATGAAAATCTTTTTAAATACAATTATGGCTTCTTTCTCCCTTATTCTTTAGTAGGTAAGGTAAAATACTCTGCAGGTTTCACAGGTTTTATCCGAGGTACTTTGAATTAGTTCGCCTAAACGAAACTTGAACTTTTGGGATATTTACATTTTACATTCAAAGCACCAGACAACATTAGTGAAATTTTTTAAGAAAAAAGTCCCTACATTCAGCATATACACCAAGTCTTAAATTTGCACAAAAAAGGAGGGACAGTTTGAGAAATTCTCTATTTGCAGAGCTATTGCCCTATGGTTTAAACTGCTTAAATGTTAAATTTTCATAGCCTTTTTTCTTAATAGGCAGAAGCTACAGCCGAGTTTGCAGCATTCTTTTGTTTTCTGAACTTTTTTATACGAAAAATATATTTTATCAACTTTAATCACTTTAATTTCTGCCTTGTTTAGGGACAATTGCATTGATCTCTGATTTTTCTATGTACACACAAATCATTCTTTGGAATCTGGATGTGCATAAATGCGAAGGTCAGTATTTAAAAGATGAATGAATGGAAACGACAAAGAATATTTCCTCGAATAGGTTGAGATTAAAGCCCTACTAGCGAATAACTAGAAACGTAGAACAGCTTAGCGGTAGGGATGAATCAAATACTTTGGTTAAAAGAATAGATAATGTATGGGCAAATGAGCATGATGATGTTTCTTGAGATGAAGAATATTCGACATATTATTACTTTGTGAATTGTAGCACTTATGTCTTGGATACAATTACTTATAAAGTTTTTTTCCATCTCTTCTTTCCTCCTTGACACCCCACAGGTCAAGTGGATACGGCGGTTCATTTGAGTATCCAGACACTTGCTTCGGTAGTGGAGTCAGTGTACTCGGCGCACAAGCTGCCTATCTGCCTGGTCTCAGTTACTACAGCAACTCCGGGCCACCACCTGCCTGTGGCTGCTGTGGCACTTGCAGTATGTGCAATGGCCATAAAATAGGGCCCGAGAGCGGTGGTAGTGCTCAAGATTTGGCCGATGCTTTAGCCAGAGCCACTTCTGTCCAAGTCGACGGTCGAGCCAGTTTGGCGGCAGGTCGAACTGGGCTCACAGACTTCGCAACAGGTTACGCCGGATTCGACTACCTTTGCAGGCCTTCAGGCCTCGATACTGTCTGTTCATCCGTCGCTGGAACGCCACCCTCGGCAGAACAAGATATTGATACCTTGGGGCTGGAAAGAGTTGACACTCGAGGCGTGGATATTGGCAGAAGCTTTCGGCAGTTTCCCACCTCTCCACTAGCTACCTCGAGGGCATTT